TCATTTGGCAAATTTTGATTATCCCTTGTCCATTATACACATTCCACCTTTTTTTATTAAAGGAAAAGCTACTTTTGATGTAAAGACGTTTATTTTTTGCTAATAATGAGTTGGTATTAATTCCTAAGTACATAAAGTTTACCATAGAGTATCATCTTGTGAGTCCTTTGCATTTGTTGCCCTTTATTCTTTATTATTTCTGTTATTTGGATCGTTCACTTTGAATGAAGGAGAGAGAACTGTGATAGGACGATATGTTGTAACCAATCTGAGGGAGGAAGCATTCAGTCTCTCAGTCACATACGATAGCATTGGGCTTTTCATCGATGCCTTTGGTATTGTAGTAGATAGTATTACACCATTATGGTATTATAGTTTATATATTGTATTTTACCATATTACAATCTTACCAGTCAGTGTCACATGATTCAGTTTCCTACCAGCCAACAGACAAACCAATCACATACTCCTGTAGGAACAAAGGAACATCCTCGGCCGGGCGTGGTGGCTCACGCCTGTAATCCCAGCACTTAGGGAGGCCGAGGCGGGCGGATCACGAGGTCAGGAGATCGAGACCATCCTGGCTAACATGGTGAAACCCCGTCTCTACTAAAATACAAAAAATTAGCTGGGCGTGGTGGTGGGTGCCTGTAGTCCCAGCTTCTAGGGAGGCTGAGGCAGGAGAATGGCGTGAACACAGGAGACGGAGCTTGCAGTGAGCCAAGATCACACTACTGCACTCCAGCAAGGGTGACAGAGCGAGATTCTGTCTTAAAAAAAAAAAAGGAACATCCTCACTTTTTTAATGCTATACCACTCTCTGCGCTCAAGTTAATCCCTGTTTGGGCCTGTGGGAGCTTACACCATCCTCCTCTATGTAATTAATAACTGATGTCTGGCTTATCTGTTTAGTAATAGATGTTATGTGTTTAACGGTGCCAGTAAACGTAGGGTGCTAATTCCTTCCTCACCAGTGGGGTGCATGATACGCTATTTGAAGCAATTGGCAACACAAATGGAATGGACCAGACCTCATGCAGGACACCTGCTCAACTTGACCTACCTGCTGTTGGCTGACGGTTCCGTAACACATCAGCAGTCACCTGGGTCAGAACCGTGAGCTGACGATGGACCTTCCCTTTGGTCTGCACAGTGTTTTGTGGTCTTCAGGTGTTGTCATCTTCTCCCACACTAAAATGCTCTCATCTCCTAGACATGAATGTTTAATTGTACCCCAGCATGACATTTGGCCTGTGCTTAGCAGGCAGTTTTGAGGCCCTGGCTTATTAATGCACAAGAGCACAGCACATAAGCCAACACTTAAGTCCTAATTAGCAAGAATCAGGCTGTATCTCTGTAGTTCCTGCATCTACTCTGGTCACCATCTCTGTATGCTTAGGGCAGCCATGTGAACATTATTAATTATTGTACACTCCAAGACAATAGTTGTTATGTAGGCAGAAGTAGTGGCCTTGTTTGTTTCTTGTGCTGCTGCTCCCCTTGCCGCTGTCCCATACACCCTCCTGATGAGGTGTACTTCTATGGTGCCTCATGGTTCAGGCACTGATGAGTAAAGAAAATGGGAAGAAAGAGTTTGATATTAGCCCCTACCGAAGCGTATGAAGAAACGTCTCAGCTGCTTTCATTGAAAAATTCCTAGCCAGTGTGTGGGCTTTTCTTATCACTGCTGCTTATCAGCATGTCAAAAGTCTAATCTTCGGACTGCAACTCTTGACGGCCTTAGACATAATGGCCTTTACTGCATGTGGAGCCAACCCCAGGAAGATGGAGTGGCACTCTCTGGAGGATTAGGTGGTCTCCTCCAATGTGGGTTGATGGGCTCCTGAACTCTTTCCTTTAACCATGCAGAGAGTCTACACTGCCAGTGATCATGTGCTGCAACTCTATAGATGTAGAAACTCAAAATATTCAAAATATTCTGAAACAGTTTCCATTGAAAGGAAAGAGAAAAGCAGTCAGGTGCCATGCTCCCGTCAAGAGAACTAGTAGATGGCTCACGAGAACACTGTCGCTACTGTCTGTGCCTCTTGTCACAACAAATATCCTGATCCTTCTGTTTTAAGGGTGCAGGGCCATTTTCCTCCCTTTCTTACTGGTAGTTCTCAAGATAACAGTATGATATGCTGGGAATGCAATATCCTGATAATCAGGTAACAGTGGTCAGAACAGCCCAGGCTCTGTTATAGTCCCTGCTCGAAACAGAATGGCCTTTAACGCTTGTGTCCAGCAAACCA